AACTATTTGGGATTTTAAATTCGCTGGGTTGGTAATAGTCATAGTTGGGTTATAATCGCTTGTGGATAACGTTTTATTGGTTCATAACGAACAATTCTCGTCCATAACATTTTCTCCCATTATTTACACTTGGTGAGATATGATAATATATTTATCCAAAAACCTCAATTTTGACTTTTTCAGATTTTTTGGTATATAACAAAAAATGCGAAACAGTTGGAACGAAATTGTTTATGAATTATGTTTTTGTAACTTATTATGAACAATTTTTATCAATATCATTCTTAACCACACTTTCTAATTTGTGAATTAATAACCGTTTTGTTGTTGAAAACCTTTAATTTGAAATATTTGGGATTTTAAATTCGTTGGGTTGGTAATAGTCATAGTTGGGTTATAATCGCTTGTGGATAATGTTTTCTTGGTTCATAACGAACAATTCTCATCCATAATATTTTCTCCCATCATTTTCAGTTTGCGAGATATGATAAAAATATTTATCCAAAAACGTCAATTTTAACATTTTCAGATTTTTTGGTTTATAACCAAAAATGCGAAATATTTGGAACAAAATTGCTTATGGATTATGTTATTATGACTTATTATGGGCAATTTTTATTAATATCATTTTCATCCATACTCTTTAATTTTTGAGATAAAACCATTTTAACAATACCCAGAAAATTCAGAAAATCCTCGTTTCTTAAGTATAATTTTTGCAAGGTTGGCAAATGCACAACTTTGAAGGGCAATTGGGAATAATCATAAAATTCTTCTTCTTTTTCGGAACTTTAGCTGTTTTTCCTTTCAACACTAAGGCCAAAAAACTTAGGAACGAAGTCTTACGTACTATTTAGGAAGATTTCAGTGTTTTTTGAATCAACTAAACATTAATTAAAAGTTTTAAAATTCGTTTATTGGCAAGATATATAAAATAAGAAAATCCTAATCTGAAATCTTAATTCTTGAAAATTCCAACAATTTTATTGTAGGGCTTTCATATCAGTATTTGGTATCAAAAACGTGATGAGAACTGCTATTAAAATACATGATCCGATAAGAATAAATGGTGGTAAACAGCCTAATTCTAATAAAATTGGAAAAATTACGTTTCCTCCCATAGCCCCCATTCTTCCTATCATTAAAGCTAGAGATATAGCAAATGTTCTGAAAAAAAAATTAGTAAAGATATGAATGTTGTTAAAACTTTTTTTACCTCAAAGTCGTAGGAAATAAATCGACAACAACCGACAATTGAACATTTATACAAACACCAAGCAAGGAAATAAATATTGCTGAAAGTGCAGTTGTAGTTGCAATATTTTGGGCGAAATATATGCAAAATCCTGAAATTCCACTGATAGTTCCAAGAACAACTAAAATGAAATAAAAATATAAAATATCATAAAAATAATAAATTTCGATACAAACCTAACAAACTCTTTTTCCCAACTTTATTAATAACAATACTAGCTATTATAGTCGTTATAATTGAAGCAGCACCAATAATTAAAACGTTCGTATAAACACCTCCAACAGATTTATTAACAATACATTCAACATTTGACGATACATTTTGATTTGGAGTAATAATTTCTAACATTTCACATAAACTCGCAGTTTTAGCATATTTCGCTTGATAATCATTAATAGCTGTGAATATTTGTGGTAACCATAATCTTAATGTATTTGCTCTAAAAAAACATAATTAACCAAAATAAATACATTAAAAATAGTTACAGTAAAACAAAAATGGATTAATACGGAGAAGGAATTGTCCATTATAGCCAAAAGTACTTTATATGAAAAAATTTTAATGAATAAATAATTGATAACTAACAATTAAAACTAGAACTGACAGAACTAGAAACATTCGGGATTAGCCGCACGTCTCTCAAGACGGCCGACTGATTCTAGTTCTAGGTCTTGTGTTAGTTCTAGTCGGTGGTGCAAAACTACGACTAACACTAGACTTAGAACTAGAAACATTCGGGATTAGCCGAACGTCTGTTAAGACGGCCGACTGATTCTAGTTCTAGGTCTTGTGTTAGTTCTAATGACAGTGTTAGTGCAAAACTAGAACTACCACTAAACCAGAACTAGAATTATTAGGGTTTAGCCGTCTTGGGAGACGTGCGGCTAAACCCGAATGATTCTAGTTCTAGGTCTTGTATTAGTTCTAGTAGCTGGTGCAAAACTAGGACTAACACTAGATCTAGAAATAGAAATATTTGGGTTTAGCCAAAGGTCTCTTAAAACGGCTAAATCCGAATGACTCTAGTTCTAGGTCTTAGTTAGTAACTGTGCTAGTGGTAAACTAGAAGAACTAGTTTTAGTATATTTATATATTCTTACCCACACATTCCTCCCATAAACATTAAACAAACCAAAACAATATTAATAAGATGAGGTGGTAAAAATAATGTTTTGATGTGTCTAAACCCTTCGCATAATTTTTCTTTGGTCGTTCTTTTATTATTATTATTATTATTATTTCCCTCGATATAATTTTCATCGATTAAAATTTTAATTGGAAACTTTTCAGTAGATTTTCCAGTATTCATTGAATAAATTTGTTGAAAAACTTTCAAAGCAACTTCATTTTTCCCACTGGTCATCAAAAATTTCGGACTCTCCGGTAAAAATGAATGCCCGATTGTGCTTATTAAACTGGGCAGAGTGCAAATTAATATAAAAAAATTCCAAGAATGCAAGTTAAAATTATCTTTTGAGACATCCCAATTTTGGGGGAGAATTCCCCATGCCAAGAGTGGCAAAAATAAATTCGCAAAGTTGTAAATAACGCCCAAACTGATTAAGAGCTTCGCTCGGTATTTGGCTGAGTGGAATTCGGATAAAGCTGATGTTAACGCAGCGAATGGACCATTTATTCTATAAATATTAAAATAATTTTTTTGTATAATAGGGTCATATTAACTTACACAAAACCAGTCATAAATTTAGCAGCCATCAACATTTCAAAATTTTGCGACAATCCAGCTATAAACACAAAGAACGCATCCAAACCATAACCGATAACCAATAATTTTTTCCTTCCAAAAGCATCTGCTAAAAATCCCCAAATAAAAGCACTTGAAATCATTCCTAAATAAGAGATTGCGTTTAACATTCCTCTTCCTTCTAACGACAGGTTTAAATCGCAATGGGCCGATGGTACAACATAAGCCATTGCTGTGCTATCAAACATTGCAGCCCAACCACTTGGTAAAGCTAGTAAGATTAAGAGGAAATTAAATTTTCCAAAACCAGTAGCAGCTATTGCCGTTTCAAAATCAGCTTCTAAAAATATATTTAAAATTGGAATTAAAAGAGGTTCTTACAAAATTAGACTTATAAAAATGTTGTTGGTATGTGTCAAAATGTTACTAATCAATTAAAAACATCATCAAGCTATTTCAAAATGCCAAAGAAAGTTAATAACATATTTTGCAGAAACTTCAAAAACTCTAGAATACGGAAAAAAGTTAGTGGCATGGATCAAATTTGCTTTGGTTGATTATAAACATACCTGGGATGATTAAGGAGGATGAAGAAATGAAAAAAAAAGATTGTTGGTGTTTTTTGCAAGTTTATCAAATAGCAGAAATAAAAAATTACTTGTTGGTATGTGTCAAAACGACACTAATAGTTTGGAAAAATGTTGAAACGNTTTATGACTTATTATGAACAATTTTTATTAATATCATTCCCAACCACGCTCTTTAATTTTTGAGTTAATAACCATTTTATTGTTAAAAACCTTTAATTTGAAATATTTGGGGTTTTAAATTCGCTGGGTTGGTAATAATCATACTTAGGGTATAATCGCTTGTGGATAATGTTTTCTTGGTTCATATCGAACAATTCTCATCCATAACATTTTCTCCCATCATTTTCAGTTTGCGAAATATGATATAAATGTTTATCCAAAAACGTCAATTTTAATTTTTTCAGATTTCTTGGTTATAATAAAAAATGCGAAATAGTTGGAACGAAATTGTTTGTGGATTATGTTTTTGTGACTTATTATGAACATTTTTTATTAATATCATTCCCAACCACGATCTTTAGTTTTTGAGTTAACAACCATTCTGTAGTTAAAAAGCTTTAATTTGAAATATTTGGGTTTTTGATTCGTTGCGTTGGTAATAGTCATAGTTAGGTTATAATTGCTTGTGGATAATGTTTTCTTTTTTCATAACGAACAATTCTCATTCATTCATAACATTTTCTCCCATCATTTTCATTTTGTGAGCTATGATAAAAATGTTTATCAAAAAACGTCAATTTTAACTTTTTCAGATTTTTTGGTTATAACAAAAAATGCGAAATAGTTGGAACGAAATTGTTTATGGATTATGTTTTTATGACTTATTATGAACAATTTTTATTAATATCATTCTCAACCACGCTCTTTAATTTTTGAGTTAATAACCATTTTGTGTTAAAACTCTTTAATTTAAAATATTTGGGTTTTTAATTCGCTGGGTTGGTAATAATCATAGTTGGGTTATAATTGCTCGTGGATAATGGTTTCTTGATTTATAACGAACAATTCTCATCCATAAAATTTTCTCCCATTATTTTCACTTTGCGAGATATGATAAAAATGTTTATCCAAAAACGTCAATTTTGCCTTTTTCAGATTTTTGGTTTATAACAAAAAATGCGAAATAGTTGGAACGAAATTGTTTATATATTATGTTATTATGACTTATTATGGACAATTTTTATTAATATCATTTTCATCCATACTCTTTAATTTTTGAGATAAAACCATTTTAACAATACCCAGAAAATCCTCGTTTCTGAAGTACAATTTTTGCAAGGTTGGCAAATGCACAACTTTGAAGGGCAATTGGGAATAATCATAAAATTCTTCTTCTTTTTCGGAACTTTAGCTGTTTTTCCTTTCAACACTAAGGCCAAAAAACTTAGGAACGAAGTCTTACGTACTATTTAGGAAGATTTCAGTGTTTTTTGAATCAACTAAACATTAATTAAAAGTTTTAAAATTCGTTTATTGGCAAGATATATAAAATAAGAAAATCCTAATCTGAAATCTTAATTCTTGAAAATTCCAACAATTTTATTGTAGGGCTTTCATATCAGTATTTGGTATCAAAAACGTGATGAGAACTGCTATTAAAATACATGATCCGATAAGAATAAATGGTGGTAAACAGCCTAATTCTAATAAAATTGGAAAAATTACGTTTCCTCCCATAGCCCCCATTCTTCCTATCATTAAAGCTAGAGATATAGCAAATGTTCTGAAAAAAAAATTAGTAAAGATATGAATGTTGTTAAAACTTTTTTTACCTCAAAGTCGTAGGAAATAAATCGACAACAACCGACAATTGAACATTTATACAAACACCAAGCAAGGAAATAAATATTGCTGAAAGTGCAGTTGTAGTTGCAATATTTTGGGCGAAATATATGCAAAATCCTGAAATTCCACTGATAGTTCCAAGAACAACTAAAATGAAATAAAAATATAAAATATCATAAAAATAATAAATTTCGATACAAACCTAACAAACTCTTTTTCCCAACTTTATTAATAACAATACTAGCTATTATAGTCGTTATAATTGAAGCAGCACCAATAATTAAAACGTTCGTATAAACACCTCCAACAGATTTATTAACAATACATTCAACATTTGACGATACATTTTGATTTGGAGTAATAATTTCTAACATTTCACATAAACTCGCAGTTTTAGCATATTTCGCTTGATAATCATTAATAGCTGTGAATATTTGTGGTAACCATAATCTTAATGTATTTGCTCTAAAAAAACATAATTAACCAAAATAAATACATTAAAAATAGTTACAGTAAAACAAAAATGGATTAATACGGAGAAGGAATTGTCCATTATAGCCAAAAGTACTTTATATGAAAAAATTTTAATGAATAAATAATTGATAACTAACAATTAAAACTAGAACTGACAGTAGACTTAGAACTAGAAACATTCGTGTTAGTCCTAGTTTTGCACCAGCCACTAGAACTAATACAAGACCTAGAACGAGAATCATTCGGGTTTAGCTGCACGTCTCTCAAGACGGCTAAATCCGAATGATTCTACTTCTAGGTCTAGTGTTAGTTCTAATGACAGTCAGTGTAAAACTAGGACTAACACTAGACCCAGAACTAGAAACATTCGGGATTAGCCGAACGTCTCTTAAGACGGCTAAACCCGAATGATTCTAGTTCTAGATCTAGTGTTAGTCCTAGTTTTGCACCAGCCACTAGAACTAATACAAGACCTAGAACGAGAATCATTCGGGTTTAGCCGCACGTCTCTCAAGACGGCTAAACCCGAATGATTCTACTTCTAGGTGTAGTGTTAGTTCTAATGATAGTCAGTGTAAAACTAGAACTAACACTAAACCTAGAACTAGAAACATTCGGGCTTAGCCGAACGTCTCTTAAGACGGCTAAACCCGAATAATTCTAGTTCTAGGTCTTGTGTTAGTTCTAGTCGGTGGTGCAAAACTACGACTAACACTAGACTTAGAACTAGAAACATTCGGGATTAGCCGAACGTCTGTTAAGACGGCCGACTGATTCTAGTTCTAGGTCTTGTGTTAGTTCTAATGACAGTGTTAGTGCAAAACTAGAACTACCACTAAACCAGAACTAGAATTATTAGGGTTTAGCCGTCTTGGGAGACGTGCGGCTAAACCCGAATGATTCTAGTTCTAGGTCTTGTATTAGTTCTAGTAGCTGGTGCAAAACTAGGACTAACACTAGATCTAGAAATAGAAATATTTGGGTTTAGCCAAAGGTCTCTTAAAACGGCTAAATCCGAATGACTCTAGTTCTAGGTCTTAGTTAGTAACTGTGCTAGTGGTAAACTAGAAGAACTAGTTTTAGTATATTTATATATTCTTACCCACACATTCCTCCCATAAACATTAAACAAACCAAAACAATATTAATAAGATGAGGTGGTAAAAATAATGTTTTGATGTGTCTAAACCCTTCGCATAATTTTTCTTTGGTCGTTCTTTTATTATTATTATTATTATTATTTCCCTCGATATAATTTTCATCGATTAAAATTTTAATTGGAAACTTTTCAGTAGATTTTCCAGTATTCATTGAATAAATTTGTTGAAAAACTTTCAAAGCAACTTCATTTTTCCCACTGGTCATCAAAAATTTCGGACTCTCCGGTAAAAATGAATGCCCGATTGTGCTTATTAAACTGGGCAGAGTGCAAATTAATATAAAAAAATTCCAAGAATGCAAGTTAAAATTATCTTTTGAGACATCCCAATTTTGGGGGAGAATTCCCCATGCCAAGAGTGGCAAAAATAAATTCGCAAAGTTGTAAATAACGCCCAAACTGATTAAGAGCTTCGCTCGGTATTTGGCTGAGTGGAATTCGGATAAAGCTGATGTTAACGCAGCGAATGGACCATTTATTCTATAAATATTAAAATAATTTTTTTGTATAATAGGGTCATATTAACTTACACAAAACCAGTCATAAATTTAGCAGCCATCAACATTTCAAAATTTTGCGACAATCCAGCTATAAACACAAAGAACGCATCCAAACCATAACCGATAACCAATAATTTTTTCCTTCCAAAAGCATCTGCTAAAAATCCCCAAATAAAAGCACTTGAAATCATTCCTAAATAAGAGATTGCGTTTAACATTCCTCTTCCTTCTAACGACAGGTTTAAATCGCAATGGGCCGATGGTACAACATAAGCCATTGCTGTGCTATCAAACATTGCAGCCCAACCACTTGGTAAAGCTAGTAAGATTAAGAGGAAATTAAATTTTCCAAAACCAGTAGCAGCTATTGCCGTTTCAAAATCAGCTTCTAAAAATATATTTAAAATTGGAATTAAAAGAGGTTCTTACAAAATTAGACTTATAAAAATGTTGTTGGTATGTGTCAAAATGTTACTAATCAATTAAAAACATCATCAAGCTATTTCAAAATGCCAAAGAAAGTTAATAACATATTTTGCAGAAACTTCAAAAACTCTAGAATACGGAAAAAAGTTAGTGGCATGGATCAAATTTGCTTTGGTTGATTATAAACATACCTGGGATGATTAAGGAGGATGAAGAAATGAAAAAAAAAGATTGTTGGTGTTTTTTGCAAGTTTATCAAATAGCAGAAATAAAAAATTACTTGTTGGTATGTGTCAAAACGACACTAATAGTTTGGAAAAATGTTGAAACGNTTGATTATAAACATACCTGGGATGATTAAGGAGGATGAAGAAATGAAAAAAAAAGATTGTTGGTGTTTTTTGCAAGTTTATCAAATAGCAGAAATAAAAAATTACTTGTTGGTATGTGTCAAAACGACACTAATAGTTTGGAAAAATGTTGAAACGAAGGCTAAATTGTTCACAATACTTCTGGTTAACGCTTTAAGTGTGTTTGAAAAGAAGACTACCATATAAACAGCGCCACGACATTATTAGTTGAAGAGTCCTGTCCCAGAACAGGACGCAAAGTCTCAAAAATGCGTTTGTAGGCTCGAAATGGTGAAATGGATTTTCTAAGAAAAGTATGCAGAGTATTAAGCTTGGATCATGTTCCAAATTAAATCCAAATTGATGAGGTTGGATCCAAACAGTTGATAAGGTATAATAATATAAATTGATGGCCAAAAAGAGCTTTTGATATGTACCTCAATATAGAAGAAAGAGAGGTAAACCAAGTACATCCTGCATTTAAGTGATCAGACAGATTATAATTCGATCGAGCCTTATCAGAAGAGGGATGGAGGAATAGAGAAGAATGGGAAGATCGAAATGTGGGGTGCGGTAAAGGAACCGTGCCATTATATATAAGATAAAACTGATGGTGTTTCTGGCAAGTTTATCAAATACCAGAAATTAAAAATCACTTGTTGGGATGTGTCAAAATGACACTAATCGTTTGGATAATGTTTAAACGGAGGCTAAAATGTTAGCAATACTTCTGGTGAACGCAAAACTTGCTTTAAGTGTGTTTGAAAAGAAAACTACCATATAAACAGCGCCACGACATTATTAGTTGAAGATTAGTTGTTCCAGAACAGGACGCAAGAAAGCCGCAAAAATGCTTTTGTATGCTTCAAACGATGAAAATGAACTTTCTAAGAAGAGTATGCGGCGTATCAAACTTGGATCAGGTTCCAAATTAAATTGAAATTGATGAGGTTGAATCCAAACAGTTGATATGGTATAATAATATAAACCGATGGCAAAAAGAGCTTTTGATATGTACCTTAATACAGAAGAAAGAGAGATAGACCAAATACATCCTGGATTTAAGTGATCACACAAATTATAACTGATCAAGCCTTTGAGGAGGGATGGAGGAATAGAAAAAAATGGAAAGATCGAAATGTGGGATGCGGTAAAGGAACCCTGCCATTATATATAAGATAAAATTGTTGGTGTTTTTGGCAAATTTATCAAATAGCAGAAATCACTAATCGTTTGGAAAAATGTTGAAACGAAGGCTAAACTGTTGGCAATACTTCTGGTGAACACAAAACTTGCTTTAAGTGTGTTTGAAAAGAAAACCACCATATAAACAGCGCCACGACATTATTAGTTGAAGAGTCCTGTCCCAAAACAGGAAGCAATAAAGTCGCAAAAATGCGTTTGTACGCTCGAAACGGTGAAAATGGACGTTCTAAGAAGAGTATGCAGAGTATCAAGCCTGAAACATGTCACAAATAAAATTTAAATTGATGAGGTTGAAACCAAACAGTCGGTATGGTATAATAATATAAACCGATGGCCAAAAAGAGCTTTTGATATGTATCTCAACATAGAAGAAAGGTAGACCAAGTATATCCTGGATTTAAGTGATCAGACAGATTATAACTGATCGAGCCATACCAGAAGAAGGATGAAGGAATAGAGAAGAATGGCAAAGATCGAAATGTGGGATGCGGTAAAGGAACCCTGCCATTATATATAAGAAAAAAAAGATTGTTGGTGTTTTTTGCAAGTTTATCAAATAGCAGAAATTAAATATTATTTGGTGGTATGTGTCAAAACGACACTAATAGTTTGGAAAAATGTTGAAACGAAGGCTAAGTTGTTCGCAATACTTCTGGTGAACGTAATACTTGCTTTAAGTGTGTTTGAAAAGAAAACCACCATATAAACAGCACCACAATATTGTTAGTTGAAGAGTCCTGTACCAGAATAAGACGCAAGAAAGTCGCATAAATGCGTTTGTATGAAAAACGGTGAAAATGGACTTTCTAAGAAAAGTATGCAGAGTATTAAGCTTGGATCATGTTCCAAATTAAATCGACATTGATGAGGTTGAATCCAAACAGTTGATAAGATATAATAATATAAATTGATGGCCAAAAAGAGCTTTTGATATGTACCTCAATATAGAAGAAAGAGAGGTAGACCAAATACATCCTGGATTTAAGTGATCAGACAGATTATAACTGATCAAGCCTTACCAGAGGAGGGATGGAGGAATAGAAAAAAATGGAAAGATCGAAATGTGGGGTGCGGTAAAGGAACCGTGCCATTATATATAAGATAAAATTGTTGGTGTTTCTGGCAAGTATATCAAATAGCAGAAATTAAAAATTACTTGTTGGAATGTGTCAAAACGACACTAATCGATAGGAAAATTTATGAAACGAAGGCTAAACGGTTGTCAATAGTTCTGGTGAACGCGAAACTTGCTTTAAATGTGTTTGAAAAGAAGACCAACATATAAACAGACCCACGATAATATTAGTTGAAGAGTCCTGTCCGAGAACAGGATGCAAGAATGTCGCAAAAATGCGTTTGTATGCTCGAAACGGTGGAAATGGACATTCTAAGAATAGTAGGCAGAGTGTAGCGTTCTGTGGCAGCAGCTCCATTTGAAAACATAAAATTGTAATTCATTTGTTATTATTTTTATATTCACACACAATTGTTTTTGAAGCAAAACATAACAGACGCAAAATAAAAAGTCTGCCAACAGTTAATTTTATAATTGTATTATTATGTTGGCTAATACCTCATAGCCACACAGAGTATCAAGCATGGAACGTGTTCCAAATTAAATTGAAATTGATGAGGTTGAAACCAAACAGTTGATATGGTATAATAATATAAACCGATAGCCAAAAAGAGCTTTTGATATGTATCTCAACATAGAAGAAAGGGAGGTAGACCAAATATTTTCTGGATTTAAGTGATCAAACAAATTATAACTCATTACCAGAAGAGGGATGGAGGAATAGAAAAGAATGGCAAGATCGAAATATGGGACACGGTAAAAGAATCCTGCTTTTATATATAAGATAAAATTGTTTCTCTTTTTGGCAAGTTTATCACATAGCAAAAATTGAAAATTATTTGTTGGTATGTGTCAAAACGACACTAATCGTTTGGAAAAATGTTGAAAAGAAGGCTAAACTGTTGGGAATACTTCTGGTGAACTAAAAACTTGCTTTAAGTGTGTTTGAAAAGAAGACCACCATATAAACAGAGCTACGACATTATTAGTTTAAGAGTCCTGTTCGAGAACAGGATGCAAGAATGTCGCAAAGATGCGTTTGTATGCTCGAAACGGTGAAAATGGACTTTCTAAGAAGAGTATGCAGAGTATCCTGAAACATGTTACAAATAAAATTGAAATTGATGAGGTTCAAACCAAACAGTTGATATAGTATAATAATATAAACCGATGGCCAACAAGAGCTTTTGATATGTATCTCAACATAGAAGTAACATAGACTAAGTATATCCTGGATTTAAGTGATCAGACAGATTATAACTGATCCAGCCTTACCAGAAGAAGGATAGAGGAATAGAGAAGAATGGCAAGAGCGAAATGTGGGATGCGGTAAAGGAACCCTGCCATTATACAGGGTGTTTCGGTGACTCGGGGAATAGTTAATCAAAGTTAGAAAATTTTAACACATTTTTCTAAATATCTTAAACACTATTTCACATAAAATCATTAGGCAATTTTTGAGTTGGATCGGTACGCGGGAACAATGCTATACAGGCTGTTCCTAAAGTTTGTTTGCTCAGAACTTTTTTATTCTATCATTTATTTTTGCAGTTTCTAATAGTAAATTTAGTTTACAAACTTTATCATTCTTAGAGAATATTGATAAAATCCACCGTTTTCGAATTAAATGCAAAAATGTTAGGCTCCGAATTCAATAACAGTAAAAAACAAAAATAAATAAATAATCTGAATTGGCAATGACCAGTGAAAATCGAACTGAGCTGTCATAACTAGTATGTATGCAACATATCGAAGTGTAGGTTTAGCTAAATCACATTTTTAATTTATT